CAGAGACGTAATACAGTATTCACAGAAGCTTTGATGGAGCTTAGATTTGAATATAACCTTAATGTAAAATTAGTTCTCTCTCAGAATTTCACTGATTTTGGTTAAACTTATCTTGTGTTTTGCTATTGTCTAATGGCCATATACAAAAAAGCTGATCTAAACTTTTGCACATGTCAAGACTATGTGGTGTATAATAAGTGGTGTCTTAATTTCTATGAGAAATATTTTGTGGTCAGTCTCTTTACCTACAGTTGAGTCTGATTTTCTGCATTCTTCACAAATACATTATCTTAACCACCAGTTACTGTGGTCTAAATTAGCTTGTATGTTAGCCAGACGTACATGGAATAACACAACAGTATAAGCAAAATCCAATATTCCACTAAATACAGCTAAACATGTAATTTTAGCTAATCCCATATTATGGACCTCGGCAGGTCCAAACATCTGCTTCCATATTCTGGATCTAGGCAGGTCTAAGCTGTTGAGTCTGGAACATTTTACAGTCTTTTCTGTTTCATTGATCAGATATACAGTTGGCAATTTTACATTCAAGGATGAGGACTATTCAACCAACACAAATGACATAGGCCCCTAGAGATTTCCTAATAAACAGAATAGCATATGAACTTACAGGGAAGAATAATCATGCAACTCACATGAAATTGGTCATTTGTTGCAAACTAATCATTTAAAATTTGACATGATAATCAAAAGGTTATTTTGACTATCAAGGCCACCCCCTCAACCAAACTTTTTTTTTTAATTCAACTTAAATACAGGTGTAGCCCATCACATCCATACACCCGTGTGTGTACAAAAATTAAGAAACCAAAAACTAACTATTCCATATCAACAGGCAAACTATTCCACAAATCTATAACTCTATTAATGAAAACTTTAAATTGTTGAAGAATGAGGCAAATAAACAAGATATTACATGTAGAAGGTTCCTGGGGTTACATGTATGCTGAAAAAAAATTTAGAAAATAACATTAGAAAGCTATGTTACTTTAGATTACTTAATAATATCAATAAGTAATGTATTTGCAGAAATTTTAAGTGGACTTTGAAGCACCAGGTTTTACCAATTTTCCTTGCCTCTCACTGATGTTCAGGTGGGAGACTAACTTAGTACACGTCCCTCTTTTAGAATATATTTGTTTGCTTTAGAATTTTTGCCCTAAGCTACAAATGGTAATCTGAGTATAGCTGTATTTAATTTTTAATTATTGGAGTAAAGAGAAGACAGCTAGCCAAGCACACCTGCTGCCAATTCATAGTTAACTCTTGTCTCACCAAATAGTGGAATTTGACTATCACTTTCATAGCATGTTTTAATGAGAAGTGAACAATCAACTCTTAATTTCACAGTTAAGACACTAACAGCCAAAAACATACATAACCTGATCTTCTGACACTGTTACATGGAGAATCCTTTACAATTTTATTTACCAGTGATGACTGTCTGATAAATATAAAGATGCCAAATGATGTGTGTTGTATCCCGTGTGTGGAGACATTATGGATTTCAGATTGCAGCATTTATGTACCATTTAATAACATGTCCTTACTACCAATTTTATAAGTATCCTACTCCACAGATAATTCTACCTCTTCTAGCAAATGCAGAATCCTTCAAAATATTATTTCAAGTGTAAATACTTAACCAAAAATAACTTAGAGCTTACAAGAAAATCATTACCTTTAATCCATGTTCATCAGTTCCAGTAGAAAAAATGCTTTTTTCTTTACCAAGCAAGATATACGACCTGTGTAACGCATCAGCTAGAACAGCAGAGTGAAGATGACCAATATGTGGAGCTGAAGAAATGTTCAAGTAAAAAATCTATTCAATAACAATATAAACATATAATTTTTTTATTATAGAAACTACAGTTAAAACACACTCAAAAAATAAACTTATTTCATTTATCACTTCGATTCCAGTAAAGTCAATATAAAAACCAAAACAAATGTTTGCTTAGAAATAAATAATTATTTTCAAAGAGCATTCTGACTTCTAATAAATGACAGACCTTTCCATTACTCTTGTAAAAAAAATGTTAATTAACCTTTATTTTGCTATATTCTCCTCCCCTTTTTTGTATAAAAATAAGATGAAGGGCTGGGCAGAAAGTTATTTTATACATGTACAAATTTTGTGCATTAAAATAAATGAAAATGATTAAAATAAATATACAGCAACATGATCATATGATGACATCTTTTCTTGATGGTATTATCAGTGTTATCCAGCATACAAATTATTTTATGCACCTGGCTTACAAAGTTCTCAATCTCATATGCACTGTGGTAAACTAAAAGTCTATATAATTAAAGTAAAGCAGTGTCCAGGAGGTTAAGGGTCTGTGGTCCAAATATTTTGGGGATTCTGCAGACCAGATTACTAACAACTTTCATGTTAAAGTATTCCAAAAATTTTTAAGAAACACACACATTAAAAAGCAACCTTAAAACCTGGTGAAGCTTATAATTTTTTCATTGGATTGCAAATTTATGTAGAAATTATATATGAACTCACTCTTAAAACTACTCTTAATTTACTGCATCTGGCTAACACTATAAAAAGTATCAACTTACAGATATGATACACAAAATGAAAATAAAATGTTAATGTGAATTCTGCTACTATCAGAAGAAGTGTAAATAAACTTTTATTAAAAACTGAGTAATTATTAAGAATTGTTGTTATACAAAATAACCATTTTTGTCTCCCTGTTACAATTACAGTGATGTAAGAAAAAAAAGTGACATGTATTGCCATGGTACAAGTTGTCTTTGCAAACAGCTAAGCTACCCAACTGATGACTTAAAAGCAGAATGATTATAGATTTTTTGTTTTTATTTACCAGTTAGTCATAAATAAAACTAATTATTTAATTAGATACTTAGCAGCTCTTCTGGTAGACACTTTGCATAGCTGTTAAAACTTCAAATAATAGAAAAAATTTAAAAACAATTATTACCTTACTTTTTAAATTTCAAACAGTGTTAATCTTTAATAAAAACATTACAAAAGATAGAGCAATTAATTTTCAAGCCCTACTGATATCAAAAGTGGTACTACAATGAGGAAAGAAATAAAAAATTGATTCATTAATTTTTAGAAGTTCTGACTTCTCTTCACATAAACTGTGTAACTGTGTTGTATGCAATCTACAAAATGTGTATGCTCAATTCCATCAACTTAAAAATATCCACTAGTAGTTTTGTAGTTATCTCATTATGGCACAACTAAACAGTAATTTGGTTCATCTTATGAAATTATGAAAGATAATTTTATAAACTATATGGTAACATAATATTGAAAGATCCTTACTAAAGTGTGCCATAATAACTTCATATCTTAATGAACCTAAGGTTTAGTTGTATGTCTAAGATAAAACACTCACGAAGACGCCTCTAAAGCAAACTACTAAGTAATAAAAAGTACTTAGGGGATAAAGACAGTATACATATTACTATTATGACCTGATTTTTTTCATAACTTGTCTTTTTTCTACATGCACTATACAAGTTGTTGTAACAACAAATTTTATGCACATATACATTAACTTCTCAAACTTTTTTTTAAGGTCTATGTCCACTTAAGTTTCTAGAAATTCAGCAGTTAATTCAGACTGTATGTATTAAAATTGTTTTGTAGATTTCACATAATGGTAATTTCTATCTAATAACATAATTACTTTTCCATGACTTGTCATTACCAACACATACACTTGACAAACTGAAGTTTTGAAGTGAAAATATTATTAGTAACCCTTGAGCTTAGTAGTAACTAATATACATACAGGTACTTTCTTACACAATCAGAATTAATTCAAAGTATGTAACTTAATTATTAATGACTAAACAGCTAATCAGCTCTAATGATTCCTACAATTTATGTTGTTGCACATGGCATGCTTTTTGCACTTATAAGCAACCCTGTAAATCTAAACCTACAATATATTTTGTGTGTTCTGATGAAAGCTGCTATTTTTCCCAATGACAAAGAATAGTTCACACTTTCAAAAAAATTATCTCTTGTACTGAAACAACAAGACTATAGCTTTTTATGTTTTTGAATATTCAGGCTCCAAATCTGGAGTACATATTTGTGTGAAATGTATCACTTTATAATTACAGATGCTAAATATATTTTCTTAATATCACTTGTTGACTTTTTTGAAAACTAAAATGCACTTTTCTTTCCACATTATGGGCACCCATAAGACACATTTACATGATTAGTTATATCTTTATGATACTAGTTTCTGATTGGTTGGAAGTTTCAGTGTCATGAAAGAAAGGGATCTTGGTGTAATAGTTGATCAGTCTTTAAAGCCATCCAAGCAGTATGCTGTTGCTAGTGGTAGGGAAAATAGGATTTTAGGTTGTATCTACAGAAATATTGAAGACAAGTCTAAAGAGGTTATACTTTCATCCTATACATCACTGGTAAGGCCACATTTGTGTTTAGTCTTTGGATATTTAGCTTAGGAAAGACACTGAATTGTTGGAAAGGGTTCAGGGAAGAGTTACTAGAATGGTGCCTGGGATGGAGGGGTTGTCATATGAGGAGAGGTTGAAATCTCTCAAACTGTTTTCTCTTGAAAAAAGAAGAGTTAGAGAAGATCTGATCGAGGTGTCTAAGATTGTAAAGGTAATTGTTGATACATCATCTTTTTTCCTACTTAACAGTGAAAATAGTAGAACTAGGGGACACAAATATAAATTTTGGTAGGGTAAAAGTCATCTTTAGCTAAGACAGTTTTATTTTTCTAACAGGGTGGTTGGCCTTTGAAATGGGTTACCTTCAGATGTAGGGCTGGCTCTAAGATTTATTTGTTTATTTAATTTACATATTAATAGATCCCATGTTGTCCCAAAACATTATGTTATGTTATAATTAAGGCCTACCTCAGAATTTGTAAATTATTTTTATGATTTTAACCCTGTCTTAACCCTGCACATTTTGATTTGTTTCAAAATATTTTCTATTGAATGTCTTTTATAGCAACATGTGTAAATATGTACACATATGTGCAGCAACAATTTATTTTCCATCTATGAGTACACGTGCATGTTAAATACATTTATATTTGTTTCTTGCACTGCATACTATATATGTTATATATAGTATTGTAAATATATCAAATGTTCCAGACAACAATGTTTTCAAACTAAAAAGAAACTAGACTTACAGGCATTTACATAAAATATTGGAGTTGTGATAAAATAGGTATTTCCTGATGAACCAGTTGATGTTGTAGATGCTTTTCTTAGAAATAAATATTGCAATCCAGAGAATCTTTTGCAAAACCACCAGTGTCGCTTCATTTTTATTATTAATCAACCTGCAAAACAAAAGTTTATCACAATGTATAACTTGGTAACAAAAATTAAAACATTACAAAGTTTACTTAGACATAATATATGAGAATAGACTAACCTAAAGACATCTCACTACATGCAGTATAAAACACCTAATACATTGATTCAAAATTCATGCCATACATTTAAATGTTACAGCTGTGTCAATCAAAATATAATTTTAAAACATTAATTTCTTACTAACTAAAACACAGACTGCATTATTAGTCTGTGTATGTGTACACATATATATATATAGATATATGTATACACACACACACACAAACACATAATAAGGATTTTGTATTAAGTTTATGCTCATGCTACTTTCTCTAATTTTCTAATCCTCGGAAGGGAAAATCATATGTAACAAAGAAGTATTTTCATATTTTAATCTAACTGTTGCTGTTAGTTTGACAGTCAGGATCTGGAAGGTACAGCCATAGTTTTTTATATGAATGTAAAACCAAAAATGAAATTGTGATTAAACTAATGCACATACTTGCATTCACACATGAGAATATTAAAATCTATTATAAGCTTGGTTAACATTGGAAAGATGTAATACATTAAATACCTTATAATAGTTGTATTTTTTGTGACACACATAAGTGTTGCGAGACAGGTTGGAATGCAACCAGTATCATTATATTTATAAATTATGAGTCATCAGAGGCCTTTCAGTTCATCAAGGACTTACTGACTGCCAACTTCCCTCAATAAACAGAAAATTAATCACTAAATACAACCCTAAGCATCCAATTATCCTTCAACCCTTTTCTTAAACTCCTGTAGAGTTGCAATGCATCATCTACCATTTTCAATGGCAATTAGTTTAGCATATTTTCTACCCTGTTGAAAAAATAAAACTATCTCAAATAGAGAAGTGTCTAACATTTACAAATTACTTATGGTCTCTTGTCCTACTGCCTTCAAAATTCCACAAGAAAACATCTTAGCAATTTTGAATACTTCAATTAGACAACAATGACCCTTCTCTTTTGAAGGAAAAGCAATTTAAGAAATCTTAACCTAATCTTACATAACAACCCATTCATCCAGAGAAACATCTTAGTG